AATAAATAAATAAAATCTTTTTAAAAAATAAAAATAAAAAGTGCACACATCATAAGTATCCAGCTTGATGAATGTTCACCAAAAACGCACCCATGTAACCTGGACACAGATACAGAAAGAAAATGTTAGCAGCACCCCAGGAAGCCCCTTCTTGATCCCTCCTGTCACCTCTAAGCTAAACACTCCCCTGATTCATAAACCACAGATTAGCTTGTTTTGGAGCTTTATATAAATGAAGCTTTACAGGGGCACCTGGGTGGTTCAGTCGGTTAAGTGTCTGCCTTCAGCTCAGGTCATGATCCCGGGGTCCTGGGATGGAGTTCTGCATCAGGCTCCTTGGTCAGCAGGGAGTCTGCTTCTCCCTCTGCCTACCACTCCCCCTGCTTGTGCCCGCGCTCTCTCTCTCTCTCTGACAAATAAATAAAATACAAATCTTTTAAAAATAAAAAATAAAAAAAAATGAAGCCTTACAGTGCATACACTTCCATGTCAGGTTTCTTTGGCCAACATATGATCAGTGAGATGCATCCATATGCTTGCATTCGGTTGTAGGGGGTTCATTCCCACTGCTGCGTTAATATTCCGTAGCGTGGCTGTCCCACCATGCATGTAACCATTCGCCGGTGATAGACATTTGGGTTGTTTCCAGTACTGAGCTGATAAGAATAATGCTGTATGAATAGTTGTGTGCATGTCCTTTGGTGCACATAAACACCTGCTGGGTTATAAGGGATGCAGATGTTCGGCTCTAGCAGGTACTGACAAATAGTTTTCCAAAGTGATTGTGCCAAGTTACTCTGGCAACAGCCTGGATGAGATTCTGCTGACACCACGTCCTCCCGCATGATCGCTAGTCCTTCTAATTTGAGAACGTAGGTTCTTGTGGGCAGGCTGGCATCGGATCGACTGTGTGTGAATCTCAGCTCTCTTCCTCCCCTTGTGACCTTCGGCAAAGGCTGTTTCCTTGTCTACAAGATGAGTTGAAATGAGTTGAAACAGCTCACGGAGCTGTTACAAAGATTCCATGGATGGGTTAGGTTAGGTTCCCCCAACATTAGCCATTTAGAGTCAGGTATCACAACAGCACTCTGAATCGCCCGCAGATCCTCAGTCTCCCCTTCTGCAAAATGGCCATGACCATCCTAACACATCCACATACGCACACAATTGAGGGCACAACCAGGAAATGGAATGATGTCTAAAAGTGCCTAATTTTAGGGCGCCTGGGTGGCTCAGATGGTTAAGTGTCTGCCTTCGGCTCAGATCATGATCCCAGAGTCCTGGGATCGAGTCCCACATCGGGCTCCCTGCTCCTTGGGAGCCTGCTTCTCCCTCTGCCTCTCTCTCTCTCTCTCTCTCTCTCTGTCTCTCCTGAATAAATAAATAAAATCTTAAAAAAAAATAAAAGTGCCTAATTTTACTGAGATATAATACAGTTATTATACAGTTCACCCTTTTTCGGTGGCTTTTAGTATAGTCACAGAATTATGCAAATATCACCACTATCTCATTCTAGAACATTTTCAACACCCCAAAGAGAAACCCCATACCCATTGGCAATCATCCCCCCATTTCCAGCTCCTGGCAGCTGCTAAGCTACTTTCCATCTCTTTGGGTATTACAAGTGCCAAATCTTTGCTTCTCTGTATTTTTGAACTCTTGCAAAAGTGAAATACCTAGCACTGGAACAGGTACATAATATACACTTAGTAAATGTCGTCTGTGTGTGTGTGTGTGTGTGTGTGTGTGTGTGTGTGTGTGTGTGCGCGCGCGCGCGCGGGGATGGATGAACGGATGGATGGATGGATAGATAGAGCACACATAGTAGACAGATATAAACTCATTCATTCGACAAAAACCCATTTGCACATTTGCACTTGGAGGAAAATGGTCTATAGAGAGAAATAAACTATGATTCTCCCGTTCAGGCCATTCGCCATCTAGTGGGACAGGGAGGAATGTGCACCCCTCCCTGAGAAGGCAGAGCCAGATGCAATTAAAAGTTGTGTTGGAATAGGGTTGTGGGAATTCCGGGAAGATGCTGGATGTGAAGGCGGCACTTCTAGTTTGGGCGAACTTTCCCGATGAGGAGGGGCAGCCCAGGGGAGGGATCCCGAGAACTAAGGCCGGGACACAGGGCAGGTGTGATGTCAAGCAGGATTGCTGGCCAGTCAGGGCTTCCCACACCAATCCGGACCTGGTACTGGGGTCTCTGTGGGTTGTGAACAAGACTTGGCTGTAGAGAGAGGCTGTGAACGCTGGGCAGTGGGTGACAGAGGCCAGAGGGGAAAGGGAGCACGAGGGTGAGCAAGGCCAGCTCACACAAGCCTGCACTGTCATCTGGGCAAGGGCACCCTGAACAGGCTGTGCCCATGTCCGGGCATGCCAGGCAGGGCCCCCATGCTGCCAGCTGGTTTGACTTCTCCAGTTGGCTGTGGCTAGAATCGTATTTAAAAGGGAGAGTGGCAGCCTCATAAGTGAAGGAGCCTGGACTTCAGAGTCAGACCTGGCTCTGCCCTTTCTCACCGTGGGAACTTGAGCAAGTGCCTCACCTCCCTGAGCCCGTTTCTTCAACTGTAAAATGGCGGTAATATTACTTACTTCAGTATGGTTAAGGAACGATGATTGGGGGAGGCTGGACAAGGCGGATGAAGCATGTATTCAAGGTGCCAGCAAGCTTGGAGTATTTATTTATTTATAAAATATTTTATTTATTTATTTGAGAGAGAGCAAGCACGCATGCACACATGTGCGAGCTGGGGGGGGGGGGGGGGGAGAAGGAGAGGGAGAAGCAGACTCCCTGCTGAACAGGAAGCCTGATGATGACCCTGATCCTGGGGCTTGATTCCAGGACCCTGAGATCATGACCTGAGCCAAAGGTAGATGCTTTAACCCACTGAGCCCCCCAGGCGCCCCAAGCTTGGAGCATTTAAACTTTTCTTTTTTGAAAAAAAATTTAGTAATACATATTCTAATTGAAGGTGTTGTCATGGAGGATCAGAATTTGTGAACTTCCTTGCATTTATTATACAGTGTCGCAGTGTTTTGTTTTGAATTACACACAGAGGGATCATCTTTTCAGGACTAGTCCTCCAAGGGTATTATCAGGCCCTGAGGAGAGCAAGAATAGGGTGCAGATGCTTGTTGAGAGAGAGCCAACTGATGTCTGGGGAAAGGAAGGGAAATGGGGTGACACATATAATCCACCCTGAGACCCAACTCTCAGGAAAGTCTCTTGAACCACAGGAGACAATTCTAAGATTTTTATCCTGGGGACAGGAGGCCAAGGGGTGCATGGTGGGGTGAGGTGGGACACTGATAGCAGACTCAGAACCAAGGGTGTTAACAGTTACAGATTCCTAAGAAATCACTGAATTCAACTGCCTCGTTTTACAGGTAGAGAGACAGAACCCCAATAAGACAGAGATTTGTTGGGGTGCCTGGGTCCCTAAAGCTAGAAGTCTCCAAGGGAGAGGAGGCCCTGCTTCCCACCATCCCCCACAGTGGCCACCAGCTCTGTTAAGTGTCATGGGTTCCCCCAAGTCCCTGCATGCTCAGCTTGGGGGTTCAGACACCAGAGGAACAGTCCTGCCACAGGCCAGGGGCAAAGCCAGTCAGGCACATCAGGGATAAGTAACGGCTGTTTTGGTCGGTCTCTGTGCCAAGGATCCCAAAAGAGCCACTTAGGAATGGCTCTCTCTCCAGAGGAGGCAGGCTGAGGTGGGACCCTGAGGCCCCCCAGTTTGGCTGAGATGAGCAGAGAGAATGCACCTCCTGCAGAGAACAGCAGGGGACAAGGGAGGAGAGCACCCAAGGCTCCGGGCATTGAGAGGTGACTGTTTGCCAGGGACAGAGGGTACCTGGACAAGGGACGTGGGTGGTTGGGTGGGTGGAAAAGTGGGCCTGTGAGCTGCCTGGGGTCATCATTACAGCTTCTCAGATGGTCACAGGGACCCTGGAAGCACTGCCATTTGATTTCGGGATCCTGGGCAGGAGGAAAGCACTCTGAGGGAAACTTTTCCCAGCTTCCTGCCCCCAGCTGACTACCCCCCTTTCCCTCCTGTGACCACACCTAGGCCACACCCTCCACCATTGGCCTCTAGCCCTCCCCTCCCCCACCAGAGACGGCCCTGGATGGGAAGTCTGGAATTCCAGACCAGGTTCCGTGGCTGGCCCTCTGTAGATACTCAAGCGCGTTTCCACTCCTGTGGACTCTGGTGACACCGCCGGACGTGGGGCAAGAATCCCACCTCGGAGGATTGTTACAGGTGCCAGCGAGGTGACCCTGTGAGTGCCTCAGACCAAACATCCTGGTTCATGTTCTCAGGGTGAGAAGAGGGGAATCAGGAACAGGAGCTGGACCTCAGGGCGGGGAAGAGGGGGTGCCCAGAGCTCCTGAGCAGATGGCCTGCCTGGGGGATGTCCAGGGGAGGGTGACCAAGGCTCCACCTTGCCAGCTGTCAGCCATCACCACTGGATTCACACTCATTAACCCTCTGGGGCCTCTGTGCAGGTGTAGTGATGACCATTATGGCAACTGGGGGTGCTGAGACTTACCTGTGGGCCAGGCCACACAAGACTTCTGAGAGGTGGGTGCTTCCAGCTGTGTGCAGGACTGAGAGGGGGTGAATGTGAGCCGAGAGATCAAAGAGGGCGGGGAGGGAGGGGTGTAGTTAGGTGAGGGGTTTCACAGGGGGGCGTCCCTCGAAGCAAGGAATCCCAGGCACTGAGGCGCTTTCAGGCTCAGGTGTGAACGACTGATAGTCAACTCTTCTTGAGACCCCTTTCGGGCGAAGTAGGGACACCACAAAAGGAAAGGCGGGAGGGCAGATAAGAACCCCTTCCTCTTCCAAACTCCAGACCCGCAAGTAGCTCGCGGACGCCGACGCTCACACTTAGCTCCTTGATTATGCTAATTTAAGACCACCCCGCCCCCAGAGGCCCCGCCCCTCGAACGGCCTATTACGGCGGAGGGGCGGGGTCATGCTAATGAGACCAGTCGAGCCTAGCGAGGCGTGCTGGCGGCTCCACCGAGCCGGGGCGAGGCGGCGGCGACTAAAGCCATGGCCGGGGCGTTGGAGGGTCTGGCCGCGGGCTTGCACGGCCCGCGGGTCGTCCCCAGCCAAGACTCGGACTCAGACACAGACTCGGAGGACCCGAGTACCCGGCGCAGCGCGGGCGGGCTGCTCCGCTCGCAGGTCATCCACAGCGGTCACTTCATGGTGTCGTCGCCGCACAGCGACTCGCTGACCCGGCGGCGCGACCAGGAGGGGCCCATGGGGCCCGCAGACTTCGGGCCTCGCAGCATCGACCCCACCCTCACCCGCCTCTTCGAGTGCATGAGCCTGGCCTACAGGTGAGGGCGGCTCCGGGGCCCGACAGCCTAGGCCCTCCGTGGCGGGCCCACGCGCTGGGGCCCCGGACACCCGACCCGGCCCCAAACTTTGGTCCCCGGCTGCTCTCGGAGACTCCAACCACATCCTGGACACCCCTCTGCCCCGGCCCCGAGCTTCCTCCGGCCCGGGGCCAGCCCACCGGCCTCCGCCTGGAGTGCACACCTCCAGGTTCCCGTTGCTCGCCACCTTCACTCCCTCCTTGGGGTGCGGACCGCCTGCCCTCCACCTTGACCGCCATAGGCCCACCGCGGGCCCCTCTCCCCGTCCCGACTCCTCTGCCCCCAAAGAAATGCCAGGGCATCCTTCGCGCTCCCAGGACCCTAAACTATTCCCATCCTCCACTCTGGGGGCCAATCCACCAGACCACTTTAGCCCTCCGCTCCCTCCCCAGCATCCCCGGCCCAGACCCACGCCATTCCTGCACCCTGGCGACACTCCTCACTCCCATGATTGTCCGGACTCATAGCCAACGTCGTTCGAAACCCAGTCTCTCCGCCACCCTGCACTCCCCAATTGCCGGGACATCTGTTCTTGACCTGCTAGATCGAGGGTGGCGAGAGAAGGGTGCCCCGGGCGGACGGGGGGTGGGGAGCTGGCAGAGTTTTCCAGCGGTCGCCGGGCAGGGGGTGCAGCACGCCGCGTGGGGGTTGGTGCCCGGGAGGCCTGGGTTCGCCTACCCCGGTCGCCACCCGAGGCTGAGCGCCCAACGCTGCCTGGGACCCCTGCTCGGCGCGTTGCAGAGCGCACGGACCGCGCCCGGCCCTAGCTCCACGCCTGTGTCCTAAGGGAGGGCGCGAACCCGGGTTCTGGCCCACTGCCCTGGAGCAAAGTTCCCAGGAGCGGAAGGGCCAGGATAAAGTAACAACCGAAAACCGTAGAGGTGAAAGGGGGATCGGCCGGCCTTGATCTTTTCTCTGTGCAAATATTCCTCTTCCTCTGCGGCGCCTCCTCCCCTTCTGAGAACCGCTGGATACAGAAAGGCCCTTGAGGACCAGGAGCCGGAGCTGGGGTGGGGATTGCGGGGGTGTTGCCCACCCCCACCCGCGGCAGCCTAGCCGAGACCCTATTGGCTGGAGGCGATGTAACCTTGGCCCACATGCTCTGGCCCCGGGCCCAGGTCATGTTGCAACCTGATCGTCCAGGGCGCTGGACCGATGTGGAAAGTTCAAATTCCCGTCCCTTTCTTCCCTCCCCGCCCCTCCCCCTCCTGGGACATCATGGGACCGACTGGGAGAGGGCATTTAAGGTCTTGGTACACCGGATGTGGGCACCCCTCCTCCCCAGACTCTCCCAGGGCACCCCATTTCTCACCTGCTCCCAACTTTAGCTTCCTGCTCTATACCACATCCCATCCAACCTCAAACCATAGGTGGCCAAAGGGAGGGGTTCGGGGGAAGGGGCAAGGTTGGGGCTAGAGCACACCCCAAGAACTGCCCCCACTAAGAGGCTGACTAGAATCTGATGTGACCCAGGCGAGCTGGGCTGTGCTTTCTCCCTAAATACCCAGAATATTCCGTCTCTGTGGGGGCCCAAGTGCCAGGGATGGAGGTGGCTCAGTACTAGAGACTTTGGCTCCCCCCTCTTCAGTAGAGGAAAAATCTGAGGTTCAGACTGGAACAGTGTTTTAGCCCTTGAATACCCCTGATTATAGGGGTCCCCTGGAAGGGAGAGTATTGGGGAAGCCAGGCTGACCCGAGAGAGTGACTGGATGGGAAAGGACAGCAAGGTAAGGGGTCCAGAGGTGCTTGACCGGGAGGACAGCCTGTGGCTGCCTGGCTGGCTTTCATCCTCAGCAGGGCAGTGTGGAAAGAGGGAGGACTTCCCTTCTAGAAGGAGACCCACAGTCCACGATTCTGTAGGTGGAAGCCCCAGGGAGACAGGTGCTGAAGGTTCCAAGAAAACACTCGTTCAAGGTCAGAGCTGGCTAGCTATGGAAAGCATGGCCTCCGGGAGACAGCAAGGGGGACTCTGTCAGAGAGACTCTCGGAATTCCTACAAGGTAGATTGGGGACTGGAGAGGGGGTGGGGGGTTGGTCAGGCTGAACCAAGAGTCCTAGGTTTTCTCCAACCCATCCCCAAGATTCCCAGACTTTCTATTGGTCATTAGAAGCCCTTGAACCCTAGTGCCAGGCTTTTTCCTCCAGGCTGGGCCCCTCGCCTCCCCTCCCAGCCAATAAGCCCGACACAGACAAAATGCTTTCCTCCTAGGCTTGGATGTTGTCACTGTCTCATCTCCCTGAGCACCGCCTTGGCCACACACATCATAGCCTCAGCTGGGAAACGGAGGGAGGGCAGGTGGGCTGGGCATGGGGCCCTGGGTGACCAGAGCGGGCTGGGAGGTTGCTGGGATACCAGCAGGGGCAACAAACTCAGGAGTCCCCCCCAGGTGCCATAGAAGAAGCTGGCCCGGGACGTATCAGTGTACCTCATCCCTGTCTCCCTACTGGACAGATGGTGTTTATCTAACTTAGGAGGGAGGGGCCTAGCCAGCAAGCATGGGCTATGTACTCTATTTGGGTAATGAGGCCTATGGTACTCGGGGGGGGGGGGCTGTCCTCCCCACTCCCTATCCCAAAACAAACACAGGAGCTTGGAGACCAGAGAAGAGAGGGGAGCCAGTGACCCATGCACCCAAGGGGCTGTAGTAGTCAGATTGCCACCCACCCACCTCTTACCCCCAAGATGAGGGAGAAGCCTTGGAAGATAGTGGGGCTGGGGTTCTGAAAAGCTAAGCCTTGGGGCCTCAGCTTCCCATGTGAGCAAGGGTTGGAGAAGGTGGGCCAGAAGGGGCTGGTATACAGCCCTGGCTTGTGGACCATGAGGATGGAGGGAGAAGGGGGGAACCAGTGGGGGTCTAGACCCTCAGCATCTTGACCTCATGGGTCAGCTCCTTAGGGGTGGCTGACTTGGCCTGTAAGAGGTGCTAGATGCTGTCCGGGCCAGTGGCATCACATCGCAAAGGGGAGAAAATAAGGATCTTGCCTGGGTCTCCCGCAGCCTGTCTGAAGTCCTTACTGACTTGGCACATCTTGACCTTGAGAGTCAAGCCCCTCACCTGTGTAAGGGCCTTCCATCTCGTGGATTTGATTGACGGCTAGGATTAGGGTCAGGGTTAGGGGTCGGGATCAGGGTGCTGCTTCCCCACTGCCCACCACTCCACCATCCCAGCTGCCTTCCTTTGGAGCCCGATGGCTATTGTCTTGCACACACCCCTGAGAAGGGGCACACCTTTCCAGCTCAGCCCAGATCGCCATCCTGGGATTCTGGAGTGGGCTGCTGCCAGAAGGGCAGTGAAAAGACAGAGGCTGGTTGCTTGGAGGCCACTTCTCCCCACCCAGGCACACCTTCCCCATCCCCTAGGGGTCAAAGGGGGCCAGTGAGACTGGTGGAGAGAAAGCCATAGGGCCTGAATGAATCTCCACCATGTGGCCTTGGGAATGTCCCTTTACCTTCCCAACGCTCAGTTTCCTTCTGTAAGAAATGCGTCGGAGAACCAGCCCTAGCGGGCCTACAGACAGATGTCTGTGGGGCCACCAGCATTATTGTCTTTAGGATGGAGCTGACAAACAGGTTTCAGCCCTGGCTTTAGTTCTGGCAGTGTGAATGAGCAGCTCCAGCCAGAGAACGCAGGGGCCCCTAGCAAGGACCTATTCTGAAGGTCTGACTCTCAGGGTAGGAATTTCAGGCAGGTCAGAGCGAGGAGCAGGATTTTCGGGGTTGGGGAGGAGACCCTCAGATGGCCCAGCATGGATGAACACCCAGTGCATGGCAAGAGTGGGGAGCCAGCCCTGCAGGAGCAACTCCCCCCCCAGCTTCCCTTTGTCCACCCCCCCTGACCCAGCCCTCTCCCTCTGACAGTGGCAAGCTGGTGTCTCCCAAGTGGAAGAATTTCAAAGGCCTCAAGCTGCTTTGCCGAGACAAGATCCGCCTTAACAACGCCATCTGGAGGGCCTGGTACATCCAGTGTGAGTGGGCACCATGGGCCTCACCAGCAGGGGGGCTGTAAGTGGGGGGCGCCCAGGAAACCCCCATGGCCCTTAGGGGCCAGGACCAGCATCTGACCCCCAAGGGTCTTGGAGAACGTGTTCCAAACGGTGATCTCCAATGGGACTGCTAGGCACAGCAGGGGTCACCCCTTGGAAGTCCTAAGGTGGGCAGAGGTTTGGAGGGCAGTTCAAGACCCTTTCTGCATTCCATCAGCCTAGTCAGTGCCTCAAATGGCAGGGTGGAAAGAGGTGCTAGATGCTGTCCGGGCCAGTAGCATCACATCGCAAAGGGGAGAAAATAAGGATCTTGCCTGGGTCTCCCCAAGCCTTTCTGAAGTCTTTAGTGAACCACCAGCAGGTGCCCGCATGGAGCCTGGGGGGTGGGGGGTGTGGCACCCAGAGAGGCCATGCGGTAGAGTGGAGGGGGCTGCAGACTTGGGAGTTGCCCAGAGCTGCTTATCTACTCAGTCTTTGCCCTTGCTGGCTGTGTAACTGCAGGCTGTGTGACTAACCTCTCTGATTCTGTTTCCTAATAAGGCCAACAGTCCTACTTTTCCTGGTTGGCCTGGGCATAACAAGTATGAATGGGCCTGGCACAAAGTTGGTGCTGAATAAATGATGGGTGAATCTTTTTTTTTTTTTTAGATTTTTATTTATTTGTGAGAGACAGAGAGAGAAAGAGAGAGAGAGAGAGAGAGAGAGGCAGAGGCAGAGGGAGAAGCAGGCTCCCCGCCGAGCAGGGAGCCCGATGCAGGACTCGATCCCAGGACCCTGGGATCATGACCTGAGCCGAAGGCAGACGCTTAACCATCTGAGCCACTCAGGCGCCCGGGTGAATCTTTTTTTTTTTTAGATTTTACTTATTCATTTGAGACACAGAGATACAAAGAGAGAGAGAGAGAGAGCATGAGCAGGGAGAGAGGCAGAGGGAGAGGGAGAAGCAGGCTCCCCGCCGAGCCAGGAGCCCGATGTGGGGCTCGATCCCAGGACGCGAGCCGAAGGCAGATGCTTAACCATCTGAGCCACCCAGGAGCCCCCATGATGGGTGAATCTGATATGCCCTTGAGAAGGTCACGGTCATTCATTTTGGGATTCGAGACCCACCCACCCTCTGTGGCAAAGCAGCTGAGGCTGAGCAGCCTCAGACCAGTCCACCCTGGGTTGGGACCTTGTCCAGTGCAGCCAAGTCCTGCTACAGGATCAAAAGCTACCCTGAGCTGGGAACACACAGCCCAGGAGGGAACATATTCAGTGTTCTCTGTCCTGGTTTCCCTGGATTCCATCCAAGCAGAGAGAGGGAGGGTTTTCTGGTTTCCATTTATCTCTGGCACCCAGTACTTCATAAGCCATCTTAATCGAGGCTTCCCGGCAACCCTGGCAGATAGGTATTATTACCCGCATTTTACGGATGAGCAAGAAAGGCCCAAAAGGCCAGTAACTTGTTCAGGGTCATGGAGCATAAAAGGAACAGAGCTGTGACTGGCTGGAAGTCCAGGGCTTTCCTACTCTGAGCCCAGAGCTCCTTTCGCTGCTCCCAGCAGGGCTGGCTTCCAGTCCTCACCTGAGAACACGCAGGATGGCTCACCTGAGAACACGCAGGACCAGGCCCTATCCTAACCAGGAAGCTGATAGGCCAGAGGGAGTCACTGCCACTTTCCCCACCGCCCTGCACTCCCTACCCTTCCCCCACACAGCGGGATGGGATGCAAACCCTTCTCTGCAGAAGAAATTGCTGATGCCACCCAGGGTCCTCACCCAGACAGGCAGACCCTGGTCTCCGGCTATTGCCCGAGTTGCTGGAAGCACCTGGGTTCTGTGTCAGACGGAGAGGGGGGTTGGGTCAAGTTCTAGGATGATGCCCCTTCCCACCAAGCTGTGTGACCTTGGGAAAGTCCCTAGCCTCCCGAGATAAGGATCACTCATCTGTAGAGAGAGAATAACAGTAGGTCCTGCTCTGAGGCTTGCTGTGAGTTTTCAGTGAGATTATTCATATCTCAGCACAGGGCCTGACACACACTAGGGCTCCCCGGAGGTGATAATATTATCGTGATAATAGCGACAGCACATGGCACGCCCCTTCTCCCCGAGCACTGAGGGTTTGAAGGTGGGCTTCGGGAAAGGGAGAGGGGTGGGGACAGCTGGAGGGCTGCCTGGCTCATCCCCTTTGTAGCTGCCACCCCTCTGCAGGCTCCTGGTCTCCAAGTTCCCCTCCTTTCTAACACCCCCAAATCATCCTGGTGTCCTCTGAGCTCCCAGAGCACTGTGCACCTCTCATGGGCGGGCTCCCCACCTTGCATTAGCTCATGTTATGTGTGAGCTTTCCTTATCTCTCCAACTAAGCTGTGAGTGCTCTGATTCACCTGCGGATTCTCTGTCCCAGCATCTGTCCCAGCACAGGTACAGGGGCTAAGCGGCTTCCTGACTGGATAAACTTAACAGTGTTAAATAAAGCCTGACCCAGCCCCAGGAGCCGCATGGTCACTGCCCTTCTGTCTAGAGCACAGGGTCCCTGGGGTGGGGGAGGGAAGGTCCAGCCAGGCCTACTCGGACCTGACCCTCTGGGGACCCTAGTGCTCATGTCCTCATCTGGGAACCCAAGGCAGCTACTCTTTGAGACCCTCCTTCCTCTCACCCCCTGGGAGTTCACACACCCAGGGGCCCATCCCTTTGTTTTCCAAGCCATGCTCAGCCACCAGGACAAACCTCCCTAATCCCATGGGGATCGTTTTGGAGACTGTCCTTTAGGACAGAACTTTGTAAATGAGGCTGAAGGTCCTGATATTTCATGTTTGGGTGGTCCCCCTTGTCTGTTAATTGTCCCAGAGGAAGTTTGCTGAGGACTGAGGCGGGAAAAGTCTCTGGATGGGGGTCCCGGGGTCCGGAAGCCCTACTGTGTGCCAAGCTCTCTGGCAGATTCAGGGATTTGAGGCTAAAGGGCAACAGTTCCTGCTTTTACTCCCAGCAGGGAGGCCAGCATGCAGAGAAATGGCCAAGGCTAAGTGGAGAGCCAGGCAGATAAGACTGCAGGGTTTCAGAGGAGGGAGTGCTTCCTGGAAGAGGGGCTGCCCTGGGCTCTCCTGACAGGTGGGCAGGTGTGGGTGAGGCAGAGGAGGGAAGGGAAAGGCATTCTGTGTAGAATAAAACCGGAGGGTGGGCTGCGGTGGGGGGAAGCTGTTTGGCTTCAAGGTGGGGCCTATGAAGGAGGTCACCAGACCCCCAGTGTGTGTGTGTGGGGGGTGACTAAGAATATGGAGGGGAGGGGACAGTGGCAGAAATGCCACATATCCTCGGGAGCGAGACAGGAGTGAGACGATTAGCTCACGGTTAGATAGGAATGCTGGGGGTCGATGGGCAGTTTCTGCGGGGGGCAGTGTTGGCTGTCCAGAGGAGGCACAGGCTTGGGAAGGGCGTTTCCAAACATCTGAGAGTGTCAAGTTTTGGGACGTCCTGACAGAGATTCTATGGGCAGCTGAAAAATGTCTGCAGCTGGAAAGGGGCAAGATGAGAGGGGTTTGGGGGCACGCCTCGCAGAAGGGCCAGTGAAAATAGTCAAGGAGGCAGGAGAAGTAAGGGAAGGTTCCCTGGCCGAGGGAGGAGGGGGTGCTCTGCGTTGAGGTCCAGGAGGTTGGGTCCAGGGAGGGTAAGGGCCTTGGCTGGGCAGTGGGGGGCAGGTGCTGGGTCACAGGAAGTGAAGAGGAGACCCGGAGGCACAGAGTGGAGGTGCTGATGACAACTATTCTAGAACTGGGGGCTAAGCAAAGAGGTGAAAGGGAAGAGATTAGCTTGTTGGGGTAGCAAAGGAATGGAAAGTTTGGGAGGTAAAGGGGAGCCTGAAATGTGTTTATGGGCCCCGAAGAAGGAGCCCGGGGAGAGAGAGATTGGATTGGAGATAGGGAAGGGAGTGGAGGAGGTGGAGAAAGGGCTCAGCTAGGTGGCCTGAGAGGACAAGGGGTGGTTCTCTGGCATCAGATTGGGCAGTGCGGAGGAGCCTGAGGCAGGAGACCAAGGGCTCCAGGCCCTGGCCTGCCAGTCTGACCTTCTTGGAGCAGCTCACTTCCTGTGGTCCCACAATCCCATTCAGCGAGTGTTGCCTGAACACCTACTGGGCTCCCAAGGGAGGCAGAGGAGGTGTGGGAGGTTCCTTTCACAGGGTCCCATAAAAGAGGGGGCTCTGGGGGTGCTAGAGCAGGCAGGAAGTCTTCTGGAGGAGGTGGCACTTATCTAAGCATCAGAAGCCAGGCAGGGTTTCATAGTGTGGCGCTTGAGTCCCGGGCCCCTTGGGGTGGGAGGTGAAGATGCCGGGTACCCCCCTGACCTGGCCCCCTTCTCTCAGATGTGGAGCGGAGGAAGAGCCCCGTGTGTGGCTTCGTGACCCCCCTGCAGGGGCCTGAGGCTGATGAGCACCGGAGACCAGAGGTAGCTGAGCCACGGGACCTCCTGGCCTGCCTGCCTCCCTGCCGAGCCCGGCCCCTCCGTCGGGTCTCTCTCCCGGCGCGGGGCAGGAGGGGCTGGCCCAGGTGCGGATTGGGTGAGGGGTGGGGGTCAGTGCCAGCTGTCTCACTGAGCCCCCTCCTGGCCCTCCCCAGGCCGTGGTCCTGGAGGGCAATTACTGGAAGCGGCGCATTGAGGTGGTGATGCGCGAGTACCACAAGTGGCGCATCTACTACAAGAAACGGGTCAGTGGTGGGAGGGAGGGGGGTCCGGGGGGCTGCGGACCACTGCCTCTCTTGGAAGAGCCCGGGCGGGACTCCCCTCGAACCCCCGCCCCGACCCCGCCTCCCATTAAGATCCAGGCTGACAGCGCCACCGTGTGGCCCAGAGTCTCCTCGCCGCCTCCTTACCTCCCAGCGCGGAGGAGCTCCTGAGGGGAAATGGGGAGCCCTTTCGTCCGGGGGAGCTTGTGAGTAAGGGAGGCCTTGGCGGGCACTGACGGAAGAGGGACAAGCGATCCAGTGTCCACCTCTGTGTGTTCCTGCAGCTCCGTAAATCCAGCAGGGAAGGGGACCTCCTGACCCCAAAGCAGGTGGGTGCTCCCAGGTCCCAGAGAACTGACAGCTTCCCTCTAGGTGGGTAAGGCGGTGGCCTGGCGACGGTGGGTCAGGAAGGCAGTGGGTGTGGCCGCCGTCCTCTAGTTGATCGAGCCCGTCTCCCCGGAGGAGGGGGAGCCTTTGAGCGCAGTGGTGGGAAGACCCCAAGCCTTCTGGTTAGCCCAGCAAGTGGTGGGAGGCATGGGGGGAACAGAAGTCCCCAAGAACTGGGGTTCCGGGCAAGAAAAAAGTATAGGGGGCAGGAAGGGTACCCTTATCTGTTCAGTAGGCCATCCAGCTCTCTCTGCTGGGGGCAGTTGTCAGAGGCCAGTTGGGGCGGCCATAGGCCTTCCAGGCAGCAAACTGGGTCCTCCAGAGAGAGGTGAGGAGGGCCGTGCACACGGAGGCTCCTGACCTGCTGACCACCTCATCCCCCAGGCGCGGGCCATACGGAAGGGCGAGGGGCAGTGGGGGGCCCCTGTGTCCCTCTCGTGGCTGCTGAAGGCTCTGTCTCCCTAGGCGGAAGGGGGTTGGCACCCACCAGAGCGATGGTGCGAGCAGCTCTTCTCGAGCGTGGTGCCCGTGCTGCTCGGGGGCCCGGAGGAGGAGCCCGGCGGGCGGCAGCTGCTGGACCTCGATTGCTTTTTGTCCGACATCTCCGACACGCTCTTCACCATGACGCAGCCCAGCTCCGCGCCCCTGCAGCTGCCCCCTGAGGACGGTAAGCGCCTGCACCTGGAAAGGGAGGCCTGCGAGAATCCGGGCGGCCAAGGGAGGGTGGCCAGGGGATGGGCGGCCCCCACTCCACCCCGCCTGCCGCTCCTGACGGCACCCCTGCCCCCTCCAGCCTACGTGGGCAATGCTGACATGATCCAGCCGGACCTGACGCCCCTGCAGCCCAGCCTGGACGACTTCATGGAGATCTCAGGTGAGGCAGCGCCCCTTGCTGGGTGGGGTTGTAGGCCAGGCCAGTATGAGGAAAGTCCCCGGATGACCACCGGCCCTCAGGCCGGTTCCAGGCCCCTCCGGGAGGACGGATGGTCTAAGTGATTTCTGAGGGCCCTTCCTGGTCTCCCTTTGTCCGGACTTGGGATGCAGTTGACGTGGCCTCAGGTGAGAGCAGGGCCAGACTGGGCACCTGGGCAGGCGCCGGGGCCCAGGGGCATGGATGCTACAGGCTCTGCCAGCTCCCAGGAAAGTAGGGGATGTTGGGAATCTCAGGAGAGAAAGGGACTTTGATTTGTCTGGGCTCGTTTATTATTTACATAATTTCCTTTAAAAAACTAGTAAAGAACAGTCCAGGGGTGCCTGGGTGGCTCAGTCGGTTAAGCATCTGCGTTGGGCTCAGGTCATGATCCCGGGGTCCTGGATGGAGCCCCGCATGGGGCTCCCTGCTCAGCGCAGAGAGTCTGCTTCTCCCTCTCCCTCTGCCCCTCCCCCCACTTGCGCACGCGCGCTCTCTCTCTCTCTCAAATAAATAAACAAATAAAATCTTCAAATAAATAAAAAAGAACATTCCAAACATACACAGAGAGAGAGTGGTTCACTGAACCCTCCTGTAACCATCACCGACTTCAATATGTATCAACCCTTGACCGGTCTGGTTTCATGGAGGCCTCACCCACTTCTCCTTCCTTAGTTGTTTTTAAGAAAATCCCAGGAATTATATCTTGTAAAGCTTTTTTTTTTTTTTTTTTTTTTTTTTTTTTTAGTAATGTGTTTCTGTGCCTCCCTCTCCCTGACCCCAGGGCTGCTAGGTCACTGGTTTCTTGTGTCCTCTCGGAGATACCCATGTCTGCATGAGCACCTGTGGACAAATGTCTTTTTGTTTTCACAATAGACTCTGCCCGACATTGCTTCCTTTACTTAGCTTAGATCCTGGAAACTGTCCCCGACAATCATACAAACAGGGGACTCTGGAGCCCTGCTAGGGGTCAGGTAGCCATAGAGGCTTGGCCTGTCTCAGCCCAGGCCCAGGGGGTAGGAAGGGGGTTTCTGGGATAAAGGCTTAGTTCCCATGACCCCTCCACTTCTTCTGCACAGGGTCCTGGGCCTGTCAGTCAAGAGGTGGGGCGGGCACTAGGGAATGAGGAACCACCCCCACCCCTGCCTCAGCCCTGGGCACGGTGGGGGCCGTGGGGGCAGAAGTGGTGATGGCAGAGCCCAGGGAGCAGACCAGTCTGGGAGGGCAGCGGTCCTGTCTGGGCACACGTACTCCCGCCACAGGTAGGAAACCGCCTCTTGCCCGGACTCGGCCAAATTGGGGCTAGGAAGCCACTTCTCTCAATCCGGGGTGGCTGCTGGGGGGCGGTGAGCATGGGCAACCAAAGGTAGGGGATGTGGGTGATGCAGAGAAGGTGGCTAGTGTGGCCCCCTTGGCGCTGCACACACAGGGAGGGCCAGGAGCACCAAGGCCACCACGGCTACTGCCTCGATTGTCCCCCAGAGCTCCTCACTTGAGAGGAAACCCAGTGAGGAGGCCGGGGCTTGGGGAGGAGTGTTCAAGGAAGGGGAGGGGGCTTGGAGTAGGAGAGGGTCTCAGGGAGGGGATATAGATCAATGGGGGGACAGAAGCTGGGGGGGACTAGGGCTCCGTGGGTGGCCGGCTAGGGCTACAAAGCAACTTCTCTTAAGGGGGAAGGGACAGTTGAGGGCAAACTATGGCAGGGGGATGGTGGTGACTGGGCTCGGTGCCACATGAGCCCTGCAGAGCGCTGGGGAGGAGGCAGCAGCAGTGAGCGGGGAACAGGCCCCCTATGTGGATGGTTCTAGAGCCTAGGCCTCAAGGGGCCTGATGTTGAGGCCCACGGTCTCTGGGGGCTGGGGGGATAGAGGATCAGTGACTACTCACCCTCTGCCACCCAGTCCCTCGGTTAAAGGGAGGCAGTAGGATAAGAAGATCCTTTCTGATCAGGTGGTCAAGGAAAGACCCACATGAGCGCATGCAAGCTCACACACGCATGCAAGCTCACACACACGCACACGCACACGCATGCACACGCACACGCACACACCCGGGCACAGAGCCGACATGCGCCTGCAGAGGGCCTCACATCAAGGCAGGCACACACGGACTCAGACAGAGCTACAGACATGGGGACACACACAGCAGAGATGGATCCTGCATGAGACCCCACGCTGACACCCACAGAGCGACAGCCTTCCAGCGACACATGGGCTCCAGACTCACATAAGATGCACAGACAAAGTTTAACCCCATCAGGCTCCGGGTTGGGTGTGGGCTTATCTGTCCCACTCCCGGGGCCTCCTTCAAGGTGGCCTTTGGGAGAGAGGCCTGACCAGCTCCCCTGGCTGGGGAGCCAGGGCCTTGGATGGGCCTTGTGGGGCTGGGTCGGGCCAGACCAGGAGGCCCTGGGAGCTGGTTCAGAGCAAAGGCTGGTCAGGGTCAGAGAAAGGTGCCCGGAAGGGAGCGGGTGGGCGGGTGGCGCCCAGGCTCGGGATGTGGTTAGGGCACAGGCAGCTGCTTCCCAAAACCAGAATAGCCTGGGGCTTACACAACCTGCACCTCAGACAATCTGGCTGCCCCCTCCCGGCCAGTTCTTCGAGGCTTTCCAGCCCTGCCTCCGCTCCTGTCCCCACTCTGAGCCCACCCTCTGACCCCTGCTATGACCCCCTTAGTCCTTCACCCCACTCCCGGGCTCTGCTTTTGAGGCCCCACTTGACCTTCCAACAAACCAACTTGTCCCAGACCCACTGACCTCCTGACCCATCTCACCTCTAGCTCATCCCTTGAACTCCCATCTCCCTGGGGCTCTTCCCTATCCCAGACCTCGGCCCCGTGCACCCCACCCCTTTCCCTGGCTGGCACTCCCTATTACCCTGCCCCTTTCTATGGCCCCAGCAGAGTTGGTAACGGGAGGGGGGGAGCGGGGAGGGCCTGGGCCTGGGATGGGGAAGGGGACCCCATGAGCCCAGTGTGAGGCTCGTGGGAGGACTCTTTCCCGGGGTTCTACTCACACCCCGACCCAGCCTCTGCTGTCCAGCGTGCAGGCCCATCCCACCCGAACCTCTGTTGCTGCTTCCCCTGAGTGAGACAGAAACTCTCCCAATTTCACAATCTCCTGTAGAAGCCCCCCCGCCCCGCCTCCCCCCGATCTCATTGCCAGCCAGGCCAGCCCAGCCTGGGGACAGGGCACGAGGCCCACTCTCCTCCCACTGCTTCCAGCCACGCCTGGCCTTATCCCTAACTGCCACCGCCTTATATGTCTGAATTACAGATTTCTTCACCAGCTACCGCCCCCCACCGACGCCCACGCCCTCACACTTCCCGGAGCCCCCCAGCTTTGGCCCCATGGCTGACCCTTTCTTCAGCAGTGGGATCTTGGGCTCAGAGGTGCCCCCTGCCTCGTCGGGCGTGACCCACCTCTCAGGGCATAACCGCCTGCAGGTGAGCTCCCACCCCCACCCCACTCAGCCATGCCTAGCTCACCTGCCCCTGTCCGCGAGCTAGGGTACTTCCCGAGTGCCCAGTCCTGTGCTTGGTCGAATGAGAGGGACTGAAGGGGGAGAGAGACCCCATCTCTGCCCTCTGAGAGGGAGCAGTTCAGCTCAGGAGGAAGGACCCCATGAAGCAGAACCCCCGTGAAGCAGAACCAGGACCAGGCGGTTATAGAGGGGAAGCTGAGGGCGCCTGAGTGGCTCAGATGGTTAAGCGTCTGCCTTCGGCTCAGGTCATGATCCCAGGGTCCTGGGATCGAGTCCCGCATCGGGCTCCCTGCTCCTTGGGAGCCTGCTTCTCCCTCTGCTTCTCTTTCTCTCTCTCTCTGTCTCTCATGAATAAATAAATAAAATCTTTAAAAAAATAATAAAAAAAAATAAAATAGAGGGGAAGCTGAGGGCAGCGGGGGGGAGCCGCGGGGGGGCAGCGGAGAGAGGAGGGCATGGAAGCAGGACACCACCGAGGACTGGGTTGCTTATGGAAGGCTTCCTGGAAGAGGGGAGGTTCTGGGCTTAGTGAATGGGTTGGGTTTGGACAGAAGAAGAGACTGGTAGAGGGCAAGCCAGATGGGAGGAGAAGCACAAAGGAGCACACAGAGACAGAAAGCTCACTGCGAGTGTTTCGGGCACGGTGAAGCTTCCATTTTGGATCAGGAACCCGCAGGCTCAATTCGGAGGTTGCCTCCCTGCTGCTCTGTCAGACGCCTTTTTCCTTCTATCGTCAGACTGTTCAGGCACTCTTGTAGTTCATTGTTGAGAGGTCTCTTCAACTAGACAGCGAGCTCCTCGCTGAAAGAGCTAACTAAGCCTTGCTCAGGCTTACCTAGCACAGTTCAAGCACATGAGCAGCACTGGGTAAATGGTTGCCCAGTGACTGAGCTAGTGAGCCAGTGAATGAGTGTGTAGATGGATGGGTGTGTTGTTGAATGGATAGATGGGTTGTAGTTGAAGGTGGATGCTTACATGGGTTGGTGTCCATATAGGTAGGTGAGTGGTCGGTTGGATGGATGGGCTGTAGATGGATTTGTAGATGGATAGTTCGGTGGGTCAATGAATAGGCCGGTGGCTGAAGAAGTGGCTGGTCAGTGAACAGATGGTGGATAGGTAGAGGATTATGGATGGGTTGATGGATGAATGAAGTAGAGACAGTCAGACAGATTGGTGAATGGGCTAATAACTGGTGGGCTGGTGGAGAGATGGGTAGATGAGTTAGCTCACAGGTGAGAGGACAAATGGACGGATGGGTTAGTGGATGGATTGATGGCTGGATGGAATAATTATCTGGCAAATGAAAAGACGGGCAGGAAGATTGATACTCTTTCTCACACCTAATTTGTGCATACATGTGTTCCAATCCCTCCCCTCATTAGACTGCAGTTTCCCTTGGTGTGTGTGGGGGGGGGCGGCGGGTAGGGACAGCAGGGATCATTTCTCCTATCTCTCCCAGTGCCCAGTCCAGAGCTCAGCCAGGGCAAGAGGCTGCTGGGGTGGCTGCCAAGACCAGCTTTCTCCCCTGCTCTGTCTGTCCCCCAACCAGGCCCGGAGCAGCTGCCCTGGCCCCCTGGACTCCAGTGCCTTCCTGAACTCTGATTTCCTCCTTCCTGAAGACCCCAAGCCCAAGCTCCCACCTCCGCCAGTGCCCCCACCCCTCCTCCAATACCCGGCCCTTGCCAAGGGGCCTGGCCTAGAGCCCTGTCCCCCACCCACCTACCCTCCCATGGCTCCTCCCCCTGCTTTGCTGCAGGAAGAGCCTCTCTTCTCTCCCAGATTCCCCTTCTCCACTGTTCCCCTGGGCCCAGGAGTATCCCCACTGCCTGCTCCCACTGCCTTCCCACCCACCCCACAGCCGGGTCCAGGCCCGGCCCCTGGCCCCTTCCCCATAGACCTTCTGCCCTCAGGGTATCTGGAGCCCTCATTTGGGCCCCACTTCACAGTGCCCCAAGGCATGCGGCCCAGAGGCAGGCCCCCCACCGCATCCCCTAGAGGGCGGAAGCCCAGCCCCCCGACCTTGGCCCCTGCCACTGCCAACCCCACTGTCACTGCTGGGGGCAGCAACCCCTGCCTCACACAGCTGCTCACAGCAGGTGAGATGGGGAGAACCGGGTCCCCTGAGGGGAAGGTGGGGACCAAATATGGAAGTGGGGAGCCTATGGGAGCAGAGAGTGAAGGTTTAAGGGGCAGGCTCAGGCTCAGCTGGGGGGGGGATGGAGAAGTGGGGAGGAATTAGGGACAAGGGCCCTGAACCCAAAAGGGGAGTGGGCTTTTTTTGGAGGGGAGGGAAGGGGTCTTTGGAGATGACGGGGTTGAGGCTGGCCCCGGTGGCCCTCACACTTCTGCCCGTGCACAGCGAAGCCCGAGCAGACCCTGGAACCAGCACTTGTGTCCAGCACCCTCCTCCGGCCCTCAGGGTCCCCGGTAAGATGGCGGGCACTGGGAGGTGAGGGGGGGACCCAGGGCTTCACCCCAACTCTCCGCCCTTCTCCACCCCAGCAGGAGACGGCCCCTGAATTCCCCTGCACCTTTCTACCCCCGACCCCGGCCCCCACACCGCCCCGGCCACCTCCAGGCCCGGCCACACTGGCCCCTCCCAGGCCCCTGATTGTCCCCAAAGTGGAGCGGCTCTCGCCCCCAGCGCACAGCGGTAAAGAGGCTTGCAGGGCTTGGGAGACTCCAGGGGGTAGAGGGGAAGGAAGAAGGGGGGACTACATCTGAGGCCAGGATGAGAGGGATAGGGCAATGGGGCCCTCTCCCCTGTGTCGGTCTGTCTGTGGGTCTGTCTGTCCCTGCCACAGGTGGTGAGCGGCGGCTGTCTGGGGAGCTCAGCTCCATGCGGGGCCCGGGGATTCTGAGTGTCTGCGTCTCTCCCCCTCAACCCATCCTAAGCCGGGGCCGTCCAGACAACAACAAGGTGGCACGTTTCCCTCACCCCGAGATCTGTTTGCTACCCCTAGGCCCTTCCATGCTCCTTCCTAGGCTCACCCCACTGTCTGCCCCCCAAGACTGAGAACCGGCGCATCACCCACATCTCTGCAGAGCAGAAGCGGCGCTTCAACATCAAGCTGGGGTTTGACACCCTGCACGGGCTGGTGAGCACACTCAGTGCCCAGCCCAGCCTCAAGGTGAGCCCCCAGCCCAGGCCGGCACCCCCAGAACCGCAGGGCTCCTTCGTTGACCCACCCGCACCCCCCCCACTCCGCCCAAGACCAAATCCCAGGACCCTCTGGACACCCAGTTTCCTCCTCCCACCCAGTGCCTCAGTGGGCCCCAGAGTGGGGCCACCTCCAGCACCTGAGCCCACCCTGGTGGTGCCTGCAGGTGAGCAAAGCAACCACGCTGCAGAAGACAGCCGAGTACATCGCCATGCTGCAGCAGGAGCGTGCGGCCTTGCAGGAGGAGGCCCAGCAGCTACGGGACCAGATCGAGGAGCTCAACGCTGCCATTAAGTAGGCGGGGGGCTTGCGGGCGCTGGGGCCAGGGGGCATGCCGTGCGACTCCCCAGCCCTGACCGGCCCCCTGCCCCCAGCCTGTGCCAGCAACAGCTGCCCGCTACTGGGGTGCCCATCACACACCAGCGTTTCGACCAGATGCGAGACATGTTTGACGACTATGTCCGTACCCGGACGCTGCACAACTGGAAGTTCTGGGTGGTATCCTCCCTCGGCCGGTGGGGGGTGGGGGTGGGGGGAGCGCAGCGGCCAGACCCCGCTGTGCCCGACAGGCCAGGCAGGGGCTCTGAGCTGTGCCCAGGGGAAGGGACACAGGTTCTGCCCCCTCCTTCCAGGCCAGCAGGAGTGCCCAGTGATTCGCTGGGAGCAGAGGGAAACTGAGGGAGGAGCCCCTGAGTGAGGGGACCACAGCCCTGCCCACAGAATGTCCCAAGGGGAGTTTGGGAGAACCTCAAGTCTGAGTGGCGTGAGCCGGGTGGCTCCTGAAGAAGACGTGGAGTCTCTCACTCCCTTACCTGGTCAAGCTCTTGGCTGAGCTGGACAGGGGATAGCGCAGCCCAGAAGATGGCATAGAGGAGCCGGACAGGCCGTGGCAGGATGGGAGGGTGGCTGCAGTGGGAGACCTCCAAGTCCAAGGTGCCACCGTGGCCAGGACCTTCCCCGGGTTTAGGCCAGATGTCGGGGCTACACATGAGCTGGGTGAGGGTACTGACTGATCAACAGTCCTGCTCCTTGACCTGGGCCCAGTTCAGCGTCCTCATTCGGCCTCTGTTCGAGTCCTTCAACGGGATGGTGTCCACTGCAAGCTTGCAGAGCCTCCGCCAGACCTCCCTGGCTTGGCTGGACCAGTACTGCTCCCTGCCCGCTCTCCGGCCAAGTACGTGAGCTGCCCCCCTGCCCACCAGAATGTCCAGGAACGTCCAGGAAGGTCCACTCTGCTCAGACCGCAGGTCCAGCCTGCCTTCAGAATAGCCTAAAGTTTTGTCCATCCCACCACGCACCTTGGATGGTCCTCGGGCCTCCAGGACACCTGCAGACAGTCCTGAGAAGGGCTGACGGTCCTGCCAACTAGTGTCTCTCCCTCATCCCTTCACCTTCAGCAGCCAGAAGAAGGGCCTAGACCCCAGGAGGTATCTCTGCCTCTCTCTCTCTCTCTCTCTCTCTCATTCTCATTCTCTCATTCTCTTTCCCCAGCTGTCTTGAACTCTCTCCGCCAGCTGAGCACATCTACCAGTATCCTGACAGATCCAGGCTGTATACCTGAGCAGGCCACACGGGCGGTCACAGAGGGCACCCTTGGCAAACCTTTATAGTGCTGGCCAGACACTGCGGCTCACTCAGCGGCCCCGGGGCTGCTTTCCCTGGGTGTGGGCTCCAGGGACAACTTCTGGGCACTCCCTTCCTGCCCCAGGCCCTGGCTGTCCCCTTGCCTGAGGGTCTAGCAGGGCCCAAATCTCTTCCACCTCCTGAAAGCCAGAAAGAGCTACGTTCTAGTCGCTGCCCCACCAGTGACGAACACTGTGACCTGGGGGACTCGTGTTCACTGTTGGGACCTCCATTTTCCAGTCTGCAAAATGGGGCTGGAGAAGCTTCAACCAGATGATGATCCCAAGGCTAACTTAGCAGCTGTGACACTTGGAGCTGAAGCTGGCAACTCAGGGAGCTTGGAGGAGGAAGGGGGATGATCCTGTTTTCTTGCCTCCCCCGGGTAGGACACAGGCAGAAAAGGAGGTTCCCACTCTCTGCTCCTTCGCTGGTCGCCCAGTGTGGGGTGGGGTGCTGCAGGATGGCATCCCTGGGTGAGGCCAGGAAGGTCTGATCCCAGGAGAGAGCAGGGCAGAGGGGTGGCCAAACCAGGGGCAGGCATCTTGTGTGTGTGTGGATGCGTGTGTGTGGATTTTGTAAAGAATTCTTGCCAATAAAACCAAAAACTGTTGGGGACTGTCAGTGTGTCTCACTCTGGGATGGAAAGAGAGCCAGGTGGCCGTGGGAGGTGGCCTTGAAAGGACCTTAGCTTTTCCTCTGAGCTGGAAGCCACTGGAAGGTTTTGAGTAGTGGTGGGACAAGGTCAGATGTTAAGTTCTTAACAGGATCCCTCCGGGTGCCGAGCCGAGAATAGGCCACAGGAGGGCAAGGATAGAAGCAAGTTTTAAGCTGTTGCTATCATCCTGGTCAGAGAGGACAGACACTCGTCCTGGAATTCCTCTCTCCATGGCCAGGAAAAGGTTCAGAAAGGCTTACCATCTTCCAAGCTGGAAGAGGGCAGAGCCGAGCCAAGGAGTAGAAGGGACAGGGCCCTCCGTTGGAACCATCCAGAAGGAGAACAGGCTGCCACTGGGGGTGGTGACCTCCCCATTAGGCGAGATGTGCAAGCGGGAGGGGGGTGGCCAATTGGTCGGGATGTCTTAGAAGGAACTATTACTTCAGATGGGGAATTGGGGTGAGTGGCCCCAGTATTTCATTGATTCTTTTATTGAGCCATTGAACAAATCTTTTCTGAAGGCCCGCCGGGGACCAGGCGATGGTCTTGGTGCTGGGGATTCTGTTCGCTGCTGGATCCCTCTCCTCATTGGGCTGAGTCAAGCCTCTCACATCTCAGGACTTCTGCAGATGCTTCCGTGGCCACTGACTTCCCCTCATTTGTGTGGAATCACAACGCAGATAACAATACTAACTACACACTCATCTAATGTTTACTCTGTGCCAAGCACTATTTTAAGCACTTTATGTATGTATGTGAACTCACTTATTATATATTAACATCTACCTCTAAGGGCCGGTTGTGAGGATTTCAGGGTAAATATATATAAAGTACTTACAACAGTGACTGGCTTATAGCACTATATAAGAGTCATCACGGGGCACCTGGGTGGCTCAGTCGGTTAAGCGTCTGCCTTCGGCTCAGGTCATGATCCCAGGGTCCTGGGATCGAGCCCCACATTGGGCTCCCTGCTCCGTGGAGAGCCTGCCTCTCCGTCTCCCTCTGCCTGCCTCTCTGCCTGCTTGTGCTATCCATCAAATAAATAAAATATTAAAAAAAAGTTAGCGTAATTATTTATAATCCCCATTTCACAGATGAAAAGTTGAAGCACGGAGAGGTTAACTAGCCCAGGGCTGCTTGGTTACTGTCTGACTCTAGTCTCTGCTTTTACTCAGCTCTCCCTACGGTGCAGGGAACAGGTGCACCCAGGCCTGGAGGGCTATCGGTTGCTGCAGACAAAGGTTTGAAGTGGCTGAGAGGTAAAATCCGAACGGTGTGCTGTGCTGTTTTTCCCCACACACACCCTCCCAGGAAAGTCCCCATAAGACATCCCCTAGACCCCCCTTGACCCTGTGTCCCCCCACTAGATGCTACTTTCCCTTGAGAGGGCTATCTACACTTGCTCTCCCTCTCTCCTCCCCTCCCACTCACCCCGTCTTTGGTCTCCTCCTCCCCACTTCCACCCCAGCCTCACCCCTACACTGATTCGCTGTTACTAAGGTCACTTGACTCCCTCATTGCCAAATCCAAATTTGCAGTGCTCTTCCTGCCTTCCCCTGGGCCCTTGGATCTCATTTTTTTTTTAAGATTTTTTTTTTTTATTCATTTGAGACACAGAGATACAGAGAGAGAGAGAGAGAGAGCATGAGCAGGGAGAGAGGCAGAGGGAGAAGCAGGCTCCCTGCTGAGCCAGGAGGCCGATGTGGGGCTCGATCCCAGGACCCTGGGATCATGACCTGAGCCGAAGGCAGACGCTTAACCTTCTGAGCCACCCAGGTGCCCCGGATCTCATTTTTTTTTAAGATTTTTTTCTGAGAGAGAGAGCACGAGCGGAGGGACAGCAGGAGAGGGAGCAGCAGACCCCTCACCCCCACCCCCCACTGAGCAGGGAGCCTGGCTAGGGGCTCAGTCCCAGGACCCTGGCATCATGACCTGAGCCGAAGGCAGATGCCTAACCGACTGAGCCACCCAGGCGCCCCAGCTTGGACCTCATTCTAGAACCACCCTTTCTTCATGAATCCAGAATTCTCTCAAGGCTCTCCCTCCTCCCTGACAGTGCCTTCCCAGGGCCTGCTGTGGGAGCCTCTTCTTCCGCCTGGCCCTTCCTGGCCCACTTCCTTCTCACTTTGTGGCAAGCCCCGGGTAACAGCATTCCCTTTGGCCTCTCTGCCGAGGATCCACTCTTCTGTATCTGCCCTGCTTTGCCCCTGGAGCTACAAAAGCACATATCCAACTGCCACCCTAACCCCTCCCTTCTGGATGTTTCACAGCTCCCTTTACCTCGAAAGAACCAAAACAGAACTCATCATTTTTTTTTTTTTTAAGATTTTATTTGACAGTGAGAAAGAGAGAGCGCACAAGCAGGGGGAGCAGCAGACAGAGGGAGAAACAGGCTTCCCGTGGCGCAGGCTCCCTGATCGATGCGGGGCTCGATCCCAGAACCCCGGGATTGTGACCTGAACTGAGGGCAGACGCTTAACGACTGAGCCACCCAGGCACCCCTAAATTGGTGGATCTTAAACCGTACTATGCATCAGAATCACTTAGCTAGCGGGACTTTTTAAAATACAGATTGCCGGGGGACCCAACCTCCAGGTTTCTGAGTCAACAGGTCTGGGATGGAGTCTAAGAATTTACATTTACTGATGCTGGGCCGCGGCCCATACAGCCAAGTCTCACTGCCCCTGAAAACCCATCAGTAGAGCTCCTTCCCTGGTCTGCCCAGCTTTCCCAAATCCTGCTTTGTGTCATTGGTTGTCCTTCCACAAGCTAACCTTGGCTTCTAACTGTGACACTTGAGGGTAAGAGCCAGGCCTTATCACCACCGAGTGAGGAGGTGGGAGGAGCATGGGTCCTGGAGTGTAGTGGACCCCAGTTTACCACCCACCCCAACGAGTTGTATCTCTTGCTTCCTTGTTGACCTTGGGTGAGTCACTTGACCTGAGCCTAATTTTTTTTTTCATTTGTTTAATTTCATAGCATCACTGGCCTTAGAGGCCGGTAGAAAAATCAACTAAACTCCTGATGTGGAAGAATTCTGTAGCCTTGACTGAGCTGTCCACAGAGCCCTACTCTTTCTTCTCCTTGTCACCCACATCAAACGATTGGAGTCGCAGACAGACCTGCATGTGTTGCCACGTTCACTCTTCTCCTGTGTGATCTGGAAAGTCAATTAATGAGCACCTCCTAGAGCATCAGTTTCCTAATCTGTGGGATGGGAATGGGAGATTAAATTAAATACAAAGCTCCCGGATCAATAAATGTCACATGCAAAATGCTCAGTGAATGAAGTTCTTAAAAGTACAGCTTTGTCGGGACACCTGGCTGGCTCAGTCAGAGGAGCATTTGACTCTTGATCTTAGGGTCGTGAGTTTGAGCCCCACGTTGGGTGTAGAGATTGCCTAAATAAACTAAAAAAAAAAAAAAAAGTATAGCTTTGTCTCTAGGTGATATAGTGGTTCATGGCTGGTCCTACAGTTCTAAATAGCAAATTAAGGAGGAAAAGACCCAGGATGTTCTGAACACCCCCTCCCAGCCGTCCCTACCCCACTGCCCACAGCTGAGTCAATGCCAACCCCCCTCCCCCCAAGAACAAAAGGGAAGGAAATGAGGCCACACTCTATCTGCTCCCTGACTGGATCTATGTCCTCAACCGAGCTTATGGGTGATCTGTCTCACCTGGTCTCTGCAGCGGCCCTTCTCTTTAGAGGGTCATTCTAAAGGCCCGAGAGCCTGCACTCTCAGGAGAGGTTTCCTGGTGAGCATGGAAACCTTTGAATCTGGAATCCCTTGACCCTGGTATTTCAATTCACTCTGCGTTGCAGGGCTGGGAGGCCCACGGGGCACTGCTCCCTCTTCCGAGCACATTCCCTTTCCAGCCAAGCAGGTCTATTTCAAACCCTATCAATTATCTCCGTAGACCGTATCAATGCCAATTTCCCGGTTTTGATATCGCACTATTGCTACGTGAGATGTTACCACTGGAGGAAACCGGGTGAAGGTACGGGGAACCTTCCTGTTGGTTTTCCCAAACCCCTTGTGAATCTATAATTTCAAAATAAAAATATCTCGTTAAAAATCTTTTCAAGTTCCTCTCCACTCTCCAGGCCACCCCTAAGTCTAGGCCCTTATCACCTCCCTCTTGGATCCTAGCAACCGCCTCCTGATTTTCCTTCTGTCTTTGGTCTTGGCACACACTGGTCCATCCAGACGGTCTCATCCCCGCCTTGCCTCCTCGAAAGGATCCACTGTGGAGTTGGCTGGAACAGCGCCTTTAATAAACGATCATCAGTAAATTACTCAAGAGGAGAACTCGGCAGAGGCTGCAGACCTTGTCCTCGAGCTTCGCAGCCAAACACAGGAAGAGCCGAGCTCCGCCCCTCGGAACGCTCCAACGATCAGGCCCCGCCCCGCGAGACGCGCCAACGGCCAAGCCCCGCCCCTCAGGACGCCCCAACGGTCAGGCCCCGCCCCCAGGGTGCCCAACGGCCAGATCCCGCCCCTTGGGGCGCGCCAACGGCCAGACCCCGCCCCGCGTGCGTGCGCGGCCCCGCGGAGGCGTGCCGGCGCCCGCGTAGTCGGAGGCTGAGGTGGCAGCGCCCTGCCGACATGGAGCTGCCGCAGATGCCGGAGCTGATGGGCCTGTCGCTGTTGCTCGGGCTGCTGGCCCTGATGGCGACGGCGGCGGTAGCGCGGGGGTGGCTGCGCGCGGAGGAGGAGACGTGCAGCCGGTCCACCGGTTAGTGGAGCGGGCACGGGGAGGGTAGGGACGACCCGCGGGGACCTCGCTCCCGGCCTCCCCGTGGTCCGACGTGCGGTTTGGGCCGGCAGGGGTGCCGCGGACCCCCGGGGCCTCAGTTTCTCCTTCTGTGAAATGAACTTCGCTTCCGGAGACGAGGTTCCGGCTCGCCGTGCTGGTCGCGCCCGTAGTTACAAGCTGGGTCCCGCGCTGCCGCTTT